CGTAATGCTTTTTATAAAGGGAATGCACGTTCAATAACTATTATTATCGACAATGCCTCTTGGCATCGTGAAGTAACAGATGATACAAAACCACCTCAACGTTCATGGAGAAAACAAATGACAGCTAACTGGCTTGATGATCATAATATATTATATGTTGATGATATTTCGAAAGCCGAATTGCTACAACTGGCCTATGAAAATTTACCAAAAAAGAAATATAAAGTGGACGAAGAAGCAAAAATGTATCGAATTAATATCTTACAGTAAAGGCAATCTATTTATATCTATCTCGTGTTAATGATTTTTTTAAAGTCTACCAATGAGGTATTGCACCTTAAACCCAATAGAGTTAACTTGGGCCAATATGAAAACATACATACGTGATAGAAACACGAAGTTTACTTTGGCTGAAGTCAACAAATTGGCACAAGAATGGATAGATAATTTAGATGCGACGGAAGCAACCAACTATGTCAATCACGTTAAGCAATGTGAGGCGACATTCAAAAAGGCCGATATGTTTGCTGAAATAATTGAAGAAGAATTAAATGATGATGACGACGAAGATGAATATAGCGTCTATAGTGCAGATACAGATGATGATGATGATGAATGATCCGTATGCTGATTTTGAGTAAACATCTTGATATTCTTTTTAAATTGGTGGATTTGTATTCAAGACATTTTTTCAATGAAAACAAAAAATTTCATCAATAAAACTAACTAAAGATATTGGTTCATTATCATCAAAAACTATACTTTGAGTTTGTTTTAATGTTACTCTAAGTAAAAAAATACTCTGAAGGTTAATAAATCATGTCATGAAATCAAAAAACTACTAAATATTATAGAAGAAAATATTTTTTATTCGCTCAATTTTTGAAAAAAACTGGTCGCTAGCCTTCAGTAAAATCTTTGTATTTTTGAAACAGAAACAGCTATCGACTTCGGCCTTGCGTGGATCGATAGCGGCGAAGTTGGGCTATCTGGCCATTATCTTATAGTTGGAAAAGCATTTAATTTTTACGACTGATTATGCTCATCTTCAAAACTCATCCTGTATGCAAAAGGAAAAATGACTGAAATTTTTCATCGACCTTCTGAAAAGATAGAGTAACCTCGACTCTAGATAGTACTAAAATATCAGCTCTTTATCTTTTGTTATTACGGAGTTATTCGAAAAATGCTACGGCCACTTATCTCTGAAATGGACATTAGGTATGAAAATCATTTAATCAATATTTTTCAATATGAGTTTTTTTTAAGCACAACTGGTTATCATTCATCAAAAAGAATCGATTCAAGTGGTCGATCAATTAAAGGTCGTGGTTTTATGGTATTATGTCAAGCTTTTTGTTTAATTTATTCTAATACTTGGTTTTCTATATAGTGGTATACTGAAAAAAGTCGTTCAAGATCACATACACCACCACATTGGCGTTCAGCTGTTGAAGATCGTAAAAGTCGGCATACTGATAAAGAAAAACATAATAATACTAGAGAAGATCTACATTTAGGTCGACATGAAAGACAAAGACATGATGATCATCAAACTGAATCAAGATTGCGACATAAATATCAATCAAGATCTCGAAGTCCAGATAACCATCGGTCAATCATCACTAAACATAAGGAAAATAATGTATCGAATATTTCTCAAAAAAGTCATCCATCATCATCATCACCACC